CCCCCCCACCCCAAAAACCCGGGGATAATGGTTGATTGTTGGATAAGAAGCAAAGAGATGTAAATTCATACAGGGAGCAAATAATGCCAAGAAGACTTCATGCAAACATTAATTCAGTGTTGTTTAAATGTCAGGCTGAAAAATGTGGAGTTTAACAATTTCTATTAGAAAAAGTTCAGGTCATTTTTTTTTTTTTTTTTTTAAGATTTTATTTGTCAGAGAGAGAGAGCACAAGCAGGGGGAGTGGGAGAGGGAGAAGCAGGTTCCTCGCTGAGCAGGGAGCCCGATGCGGGACTCCATCCCAGGACCCTGGACCCTGGGATCATGACCTGAGCCGAAGGCAGACGCTTCACCGACTGAGCCACCCAGGCACCCCTCAGGTAATATATTTAATCAAGATGAATCCTTGGACAAATTAGACTGGTTTTATAATTTTGGTTTAAAACAACTATGTGGGTATAAGATAATAGGAAGTTATAGTGTCTGGAAAAATTAGGTTATTTACTGATGATGCAAAGCTCACTTAAACTTTACTAAATTTCCTGGTCTGGTTTTATGGGTCAGGTAAGTTATTTTTCTTGAACTCTTTTTTTTTGAGTAGTCTTCACACCCAGCAGGGGCCTGACATCCTGACACGACCCTGAGATCATGACCTGAGCTGAAATCAAGAGTCAGACGCTTAACCGACTGAAGTACCCAGGAGCCCCAGGTAAGTTATGTTTCCAAAAAATATTTAAGGTCATGTAAATGCACACATATATGTTTAACTATATTAAAATAAGTGTTCTCTGTCATGAAACATGTCTTCTTATAGACCTCAGTGCTCTGAATCTTTTGCATTTCATGATGCCATGTATCTCTCACCTCCTGTGGTGTATTATCTTTGAAGATGTCATAATTATCTCTGTGCACACTCTTTCCCTGTGCACACTCGGCAACAGGATTTTGCTGATTTTCCTCCTATTGAAAGCTGGGGTCTGTCTCCCCTCCCCTTGAGGGCTGGGTCCTGCTCTGACCCACTGAGTGTGGTGGAAGTTGCCAAGCCTAGGTGTTAGGGGCCCGGCAGCTTCCACCAGTGGAAGAAAGCCTGGGCTAGACTACTGAGTACCAAGAGGTTGTGTGGAGAGAAGGGGTCCATGGACAGAGAGGGAGTGGGTCACGTGGACAGAGAGGGCCATGTGGATGGGGGGTCACATGGACAGAGAGGGCCATGCAGATGGGGGGCCACGTGCACAGAGAGGGCCATGTGGATGGGGGGCCATGTGGACAGAGAGAGGGCCTCGGGGAGAGAGGACCCACCTGATGGCCACTCTGAGGCCCCAGGTGCCAGAATGAAGCTGGCTGGATCTTCCAGCCCCAGTTGAGCCATGCCGACCAGCACCACGTGGGACACAGATGAACTGTCCTGCCAGAATTCCTGACCCACGGAATCACGAGTGGTAAAAGATCTGCACTGTGCTGTGTGGTGGGGGCTGGGATGCTGCACGCCACGGTTCTGCTTTATCTGCATACATTATCTGGGATTCTCCTGCCTTCATTTAATCAGTATGGACTCGTGGATGTTTACTTTATATTTGGATTATGATCCAGAACACCTGTACTGACTCTGTCCCTGGGGCCGTCAGTTGCCCCCTGTGCTCTTCGGCACATCCCATCGTTCTCCATTAATTAATTAATTGATTGATTTGCACTTCCTTACTTTCGGGCACCACAGATTCTCCAGGCTTATCTTGTATGTTTCTTCCCCCAGTCCTAAAATTAGCCATTTCTCCAAGGAGCCATGGTTCCTTTTGTTGGAAAACAGTCTTAGAAACCAGGATCTGGGCGCTGGTGAGCTTGTTGCTTCCCAGACAACAGAGTTAGTAAATGCACATGTGCGTGTGCTGTCCCATGTGCGCGCGCA